GTGTTGTATAATGCATATCCAAAAGTGGCCTAGGCTTGAACTTTTGGATTGAATATGAATTATTTAGGAATCATATTCACATTATACATGGGTTCAAAGTTCTACCATAGCAAGCGCGTTTATAAAATAATTAAAGGGCCTTGCGCTAATCCTGTTCTAGCAAGTACTCTAAGATTAACCGGTGTAATCTATAGAAGGTGGCCTCTGACCTTCCTACTTGCATAGGTAGACTCATCAAGAATGCTCACAACTTCCATTCCACTAAATTTAGCTATGAGTCTATTGAGAACTTTAATGTTCAACTTTCTTTGTTGTGAATAAACAGTGTACTTGTTTAGGTAAAGGACTTTAAAGGAATAGTTTTGTTTATTTTATTACCCCCACTATTCCTTAAATAATATAGTACATTGAAATGTAGCACCTTGTGCTTACATTTCTTGAGTAATTTATGAGTGAATTGCCATTAAACTTCTATGCACTTGATTTTTGATTAAAGACATGTCTTCATATCAACATCAAAGTTATGAAGTTGGTTTCAAACATGATCACTCCACCATTACCGGTAAAAGTCCCATACCTCTCCAAATTTTACTTAACCTTTCTCCATTTAAAGGTTTTGTTAAGGGGTCAGCCAACATTTTCTCGGTAGGTAGATATTCTACCTCTATCCTCCCTTTTTTCACAACACTTCTTACATAATTATATCTCATAGCAATGTGTCTGCTATTATTAGAGAACCTTTCATTTTTAGCATTGTGAATTGCGACTTGATTATCAAAAAATAATTTGATGGGTCCTCTTGGTATTTCCACAAATGGAATACCTTTTAGGAATCTCCTTAACCATAAAATTTCTTTTGATGCCAATGACATGGCAACATACTCAGATTCCATAGAAGACAAAGCCACACACTTTTTTCTTTTAGAGGACCAAGAAACAATGGATCCACCAATGGTAAATAACCATCCACTTGTTGATTTTGAATTTATCTTATCAGATGCCCAATTAGCATCACTGTAACACTCCAAGACAAAAGTAGAGCAATTATAATGCCAGCTAAACTGCAAAGTATATTTCAAATATCTCATAACTCTACTAATCTCATTCCAATGCTTAATACTAGGATTACTAGTAAACCTACTCAAAATTCCAACAGCACATGCAATATCAGGCCTAGTATAATTCATGGCATACATTAAACTACCAATGATTTTAGCATACTCCTTTTGATTAATAGGCTCACCTTGATTAGGAATTAATTTAACATGTGGATCAATTGGAGCTTTACTAGGCTTACAATCAAAAGAACCAAATTTCCTTAATAATTTCTCAACATAATGTGATTGAGTCAAGATATATTTACCATCCCTTTTAACAACTTTAACTCCTAAAATGACATCTACTGGACCTAAATCCTTTATGTCAAATACTTGGGTTAAATAATTTTTAGTCTCATTAATACAATGCATGTCAGAACCAAAAATTAATGAATCATCAACATAAAGTGTAATAAGAACTTTATAATTACTAGTAACCTTGGTAAAAACGCAACTTTCTACTTTACTACATTTAAAACCAAACTTCCTAATCTCCTTTTTAAATTTCTTATACCATTGCCTAGGTGGTTGCTTAAGTCCATAAAGTGATTTGTTTAGTTTACATACCTTATCCTCTTGACCTTGCACTATGTATCCCTCGGGTTGATGAATGTAGATTTCCTCATCAAGTTCTCCATTCAAAAAAGCTGTCTTCACGTCCATTTGATGTACCTCAAGATTATAAATGGATGCAATGGCAAACATAATTCTAATAGAAGTAAATCTAGTCACTGGAGAAAATGTCTCAAAATAATCTAACGCTTCTTTTTGACTAAAACCTTGGCTACTAATCTTGCTTTATATTTATTAATACTTCCATCTGTTTTTAATTTCTTTCTCAAAACCAACTTGCAGCCAATAGGTTTAGTATTAGGAGGAAGATCAACCAAAATCCATGTATTATTATCATGAATAGACTTTATCTCATCATCCATGGCCTTTTTCCATAAAGAAGCATCTAGTAAGGCCATGGCTTCACTAAATTTCTTGGGTCCTCTGCTAAAGAGTATGTAAACATACCAGGACCAAGATCCTTTTCAATTCTTTGTCTTTTACTTCTTCTTAATTCTGGTTCTTCCTCCTTTTTATTATCATATTCTCGATTGGGAACATGACCCATGTGACTAGAATTGCTTTCACCTTTTTGGTTGGAAGCATTTTCATGCAAGTCATCACCCATGTGACTATTATCAAGCTTTGGACCATTCAAACAATTAGAATAAGACAAAATAGTTGTACCAACATCTTCCACATGCTTATTGTGTGCAAAACAATTAAATTTCAATTCATTTCATAAATCCTTTTCTAATTCTAAACTACTAGCATCTTTAATAGTTAAATGCTCAAAATAAATTGCATGAATAGCCTCAAAAGCACTATTTATTTTCAAATTAAGAAATCTATATGCTTTACTATACAATGAATAACCAATAAAAATTGATTTTATAGCCTTACTACCAATTTTAGGCCTCTTCATGGTTGAATCTAAAACATATGCAATGCAACCCCAAATTTTAAAATAATCAATATTTGGTTTCCTACCATTTAATAATTCATATGGTGTCATATCTTTACCTTTATGCAAAATTCTATTAGAAATATAATATGCAGTAAGTAATGCCTCACCCCAAAAACTAAATGGCAAATTAGAGTGAATTAACATGGCACTAACCATCTCCATCAAAGTTCTATTCTTCCTTTCAACAACTCCATTTTGTGGAGGTGAATTAGGGGCTGAAAATTCTCTAACAATACCATGTTCTTCACAAAAAGAAATAAACTCATTAGAATTAAATTCACCACCTTTATCTGATCTAATTCTTTTAATTTTTCTATTTGTTTTATTCTCTATTTCTTGCTTAAAAATCTTAAATTTTTCTAAAGCCTCATCTTTAGTTCTAAGCAAATAAACATAAGTATACTTAGAAAAATCATCAATAAATGTTATAAAATAACGTTTACCACCTCTAGTCAATTTATCCTTGTTATCACATAAATCAGTATGAATAAGATCCAACAAAGATGTATTTCTAATAACAAATTTAAAAGATGGTTTAGTAATCTTAGATTGTGCACAACATTCACATGTTTTCATGTTGAGAATAGAGCTAGATTTAGGAATATAATCATGAGAAATCATACGTTTTAATGCATTACTACCTATATGTCCTAATCTAAAATGCCAAAGATGATTAATATCACTAGAATCAACAATATAAGCAGAATTAGATGCATCTTTATTTATATTAATAGCATACATATTGTCTTTGGCATAGCCTTTCCCAACAAAGGATCCTTTCTTGTAAATGATCACTTTTTGGGAATCAAATACAACTTTAAACCCATGATCATCAAGTTTTTTGATAGAAATTAAACTTTTCCTAAGACCTGGAATATGATACACATCTTGCAAAGTGAGAACTTTTCCATAAGTCAAAGAAAGTTTCACTGTCCCTTTACCAACAACTGCACATGTGGAAGAATTTCCCATGAAGATAGATTTTTCTCCATTCATTTCTTCATATGTCTTCAAAGAACTTTTAAATGGAGTCACATGACATGTTGCTCCTAAATCAAGCCACCAATCCTCTTCATTGTTTATAACAAGTAATTCAGTGAGCATAGCCACCATATCATCCTCTGTGATGATATTTGTTTCACAAATTTTCTTACCTTTACGGTGGTAGCATTGCATAACAGCATGCCCCAATTTTCCACATACAAAGCATGCTCCTTTCTTCTTTTTGAAAGTTGCCAAGTTCTTGCCATTTTTGCCTTTCATTGAAGAAGACCCTTTTTGTCCTTTCTTGAACTTGTGATTGGGTTTCTTGGAAAAAGATGCTGGCCCCTCCAAAGCATTCACATTATCACTCTTGTCTTGACCATCCCTTTTCCGAGCCTCATATTCAATTTGGATGTGCTTCATCAATTCATCCACTTTCAAAGACCTTTTCTTGTGTTTAAGGAATTTTTGATAATCCTTCCACGAAGGTGGTAATTTACCAATTATGGTAGACACTTGAAAGGTCTCAGAAATTGGTTCACCGGCATCAGCACATTCCGTTGCAATATCATTTAATTCATTGACTTGATCAATGACAGGCTTAGAATCACTCATCTTAAAATTAATATATTTGTTGACAAGGAAAGATTTGTTGCCAGCATCTTCATTCACATACCTTTGTTCTATTGCATGCCATAACTCAAGAGCAGTGGAATGTTTTTGAAAAGCATTGAAGAGAGAATTTATCATGGCCTGCAAAATGGTTAGACGGCAAACATAATCATCTTCAAGCCATTTGTGTTGCTGCTCAGTCAATTCTCCATTTAAAGTGCCAGTGCAGTCTTGTGGATATGGATTATGCAAGACATATGCCACTTTCAAAATGGTGATTTGATAATAAATCTTCATGCTCCACTGCTTGTAATTCAACCCATTGAAGTGTTCCAGTTTTTCAACATCGATGTGCGGTTTGACAATTCCAGATTGCATTTGGAAAGGCTATTATCCTTAAATTGTTGTATGCAGAGAGTTGTAGATGTAATTGTTGTGAGCAAGGCAGTTCTAAGAACCTTTCTTAAGGATAATAGTTTCCACCTCTCTGTAGGAAACGTTATCCCCAGGATTCAATACCCACTAAAACAAACTTTAATCACCTAACCAGTATACTGAAACTTAAAAAGCAAAATGCAGAAATTCAAGGAAGAAGATAAGAAAAACTCAAAGTATTTATGGAAAAGTTGATCTGTTTTTCCTTGAAATTGTGTTATTTATCTACAATTCCCAACCGGTGGTTTTACACCAGTATAAAATAGATACGCCCCTCAAGAAATAACTCTTCAATATCTGATATATTTATATCAGATAATATTTCAAACCTTTTGCCCGTTGGAGACGATTTTTTCCAACTTAAATTCAACTTTCAACTTGCAGAGGTTTCAACCACTTCTTATCTTTATTCTTTTCTTTTTCTTCCTTGTCTGACATTACCCCATGTTTCAAGCCTTTAAATTGTACCGCATCACATGCATCCCTTAAAGTCAAAAAAGTGAAGTGTACGTATATATAATATATATTATAAAATATTATATAAAGTAAATAATAAATATATTATTAAAAAATACCTAATTATATATATAACAGTAAGAAGCAAGTAGCAATTATTGTCAGCTCTGTCATGTTGACTGGAATGGTTTTCATTGGATTATTATGTTACTCAACAGCAAGTTGCCTCTTCCTACCACTCTCCTTTTAGTATCCACGCAAGTAGAGTCAAGGCAATTGTTCTAATCCATCACCTGTCTCTTGAGTAGTTTGCTGGCACCCACACAAGTCAAGTCTTTTTTCCTTTCCCGAGCAAGCATTTACACATGCTCAAATCGAGGCCCAGTATTGATCTTGCCGGTAGATAGCTTCAATTTTAGGACCACAATGGATGTTTTTACTTTGATAGCATTTGTGAGTACTTGTTTTCTAATCTTCTTGGAAGCCTCCACAGCAATTGATTCCATTTCTCCATCTGAGCCTCTCCCCGATGGAAAGACCTTAGTTTCGAATGATGGAAGCTTTGAGTTGGGTTTCTTCCGTCCAGGCAGTTCTTGGAATCGGTACTTGGGAATTTGGTACAAAAACATCCCAGTCAGAACAGTTGTTTGGGTTGCAAACAGGGTGAACCCAATAAATGACTCTTCTGGCATGTTGATGGTAACAACCACTGGTGATCTTCAGGTTCTGAGTCAGAACATAACTATTGTTTGGTCAGCTAACTCAAAAAAAGCAGCTCAGAATCCCATACTGCAACTCCTGAATTCTGGCAATCTTGTTTTGACAGATGACAGGGATGGAAATTCGGGAGCTTACTTGTGGCAAAGCTTTGATTATCCATCTGATACACTGCTACCGGGGATGAAACTAGGATGGGACTTGAGAACTGGCCTTGACCGGCGTCTCTTAGCGTGGAAGAACTCTAATGATCCATCTCCTGGTGACTTTACTTGGGAAATTGAACTACAAGGTAATCCTGAGGCTGTGCTCTGGAAAGGCTCAAAGAAATATTTCCGGTCTGGCCCCTGGAATGGCATAAGTTTTAGTGGTCTCCCAATTTTAAGTCCTGAGAACCAACTTTTCAGTTTTGAATTTGTCTCCAATGAAGAGGAGGTCTACTACATGTTTTCCTTCAAAAACAAGTCTGTGCTCTCAATGGATGTTCTGAACCAAACTGACTACACAATACAGAGCTACGCATGGAGTGAAGCAACTCGAACGTGGAAGCTTTGGGCATACCTACCTGACGAGTATTGTGACAAATATGGGCTTTGTGGTGCATATGGGAATTGTGACAGTACTCAACTTCCAGCTTGCCAATGTTTGAAAGGATTCAAGCCTAAATCACCTGATGGATTGAGCTCTGGGGACTGGTCTCAAGGATGTGTCAGAAACAAGCCATTGGACTGCCAGGCGGGTGATGGATTTATCCAATTTGGAAGGTTGAAACTGCCTGATGCTACCCATTCATGGGTAAACAAAACTATGAGCCTCAAGGAATGCAGGGATAAATGCTTGCAGAACTGTTCTTGTATGGCATATACTAGTTTGGATATAAGAGGAAGAGGTAGTGGTTGTGCCATTTGGTTTGGTGATCTAGTTGATATTAGACAGTTTCAATCCGGTGGGCAGGATCTGTTCATTAGGATGTCTGCTTTGGAATTAGGTATGAACATACCTTTCGTTCACATCTCTTCATGAGAAAAATTGAATGTTTCATTGAGCTAAGTCTAGTTGGAAGTGGAAAGAACAAAGAACTATGCTTATTACAGGTTGTGATAATGTACTTTAGCTAAGATTTAATTATGTTTTTTCTTTCTATCAAAATTGAAAATGAAGGATCAACGAGAAATGAGACAAAGTTGAAGATAGCACTATTAATTGCAACTCCATTCGCTGCACTTCTGGCGATGCTTATTTTATGCTATTACTTCTGCAAAAGCAAGGGAAACTCAGAAGGTAAATATTTCAAACTTTTCACCTTAACAAATATATGTTCATTTTGTTCCTTCCTGCTATGACAACTGGCAAAATCTATTCAGTGTCTTGTGAATGCACTTGTTTTGTCTTGATTTTTTTTCCATCTTTCAATTAGATTCTTTGTGGCTCAATAATCATCATGTTGGAGAATTTTTTTTTTTTCCTCTTAACGTGAGGTGAGAACTCATTTTTTTTTTATTCATTGTTCTGCGATTATATAGCAAAAATATCTCAATACATAAAGGTAATTTCCTCACCTACTCATTTTTTTTTTATTCATTGTTCTGCGATTATATAGCAAAAATATCTCAATACATAAAGGTAATTTCCTCACCTAATACTTATCTAATGCATTTAATGCAAGATTACAGTAAAAGACTTGCTGCCACTTGTACAGCTTCATTTCCTTTCATTTGCTGCCACTTGTGCAGCTTGATGTGGCTGTACTTGCTGCTACTTTGCAGCCTCATTTGCATTTCTTTACAGCCTCATTTCATCAACATTTGCAGCTTGGCTTGATGCACTTTGCTGCTACCGTGCTTTAGTTCAGCTCTCCCTTCATTTCATTTTGCTGCCACCTATGCAGCTTTCTTTCCATTTGCTGCCTCTTGTGCAGCTTTGACACCACAGCTCCAACACATCAAGATGTAATTGCTTGATGATGAACAGAATGATTTTGAATCTCAAAATACATTTGACCAAACCATGACTAGTTTAGTTCTCCATTTCTGATCTTCCCATGGTTAATGTTAAGCTACATGTCTACTACTATTACAGAAAGAATCAAAGAGAAGAAAGAAAATGGCATAAAGACTGAAGGCCAAGATGAAGACATGGAGCTTCTAGTATTTCAACTAGCTACAATATCACATGCAACTGATAATTTTTCACTCAGCAACAAGCTGGGTCAAGGGGGTTTTGGACCTGTTTACAAGGTATGTTTTGCAGCAATGAAATTGAGCATGAGTAAATTGCATTTGGTTTTAGAAAAAAGAGAGGCAAATTAGGCCCCAAAAAAATTATTTTTCACAGAAAAATAAGCTCATTATGAAACTTTGATGGCAAATCAGTCTTAGAACTTATGAACAACAGCAAATAAGTTCAAAGTGGACGGAAAAGTTGACATGGCCAAGTACTTTTCTTTAATTTTTCAAGTCCTAATATATGCATGAGCTACAATGTTTACAAGAAATATAAACATTTATAAATGATGAATTTTATAGGGAACATTGGCAGAGGGGCAAGAAATAGCCGTTAAGAGGCTTTCAAAAAGTTCCGGGCAAGGAATGGTAGAGTTCAAAAATGAAGTTATACTGATTGCCAAGCTTCAACACCGTAATCTTGTTAAGCTTCTTGGTTACTGCATTAAAGGAGATGAAAAGATGTTGATCTA